TTTCTGGACTCATTTTAACGAACCTTATTTATGTCAGTTTGAAGCAAGGCATTAATGACAGGTATGCAGAACTCCAGCCAAATTCTGTACCATAAATGAAATTCTCAGTCTTTTCAGATTCACATGTAAGCAGTTTGCTGTGCTAGAGTTAATCTTTTATTTGTCTGAAGTCCATTTGTTATTCCTTCTCTCATTCTTTTTTATCTTTTGTATATGTAGACCTGGGGTATTTTACTACCTGCTAACACTGTTTTTAGTTGAAGAATTTCCTAAAGGGAGAACCAAACAGTCAAATGTGAATTTCAACTTTTTTGTACTTTTTTGGTTTTTTTTTTGTAAAGTAGATGGTCTTGTTATTCTGACTGCTGCATCGGATGCTACAAAGTCAATGTTTATATTGTCAGGATGTAAGTCTTTTTGACACCTCTTGATAAGCATCATTTCAACATAGCGTATCCTTCCTCTAGTTTTGTTCCTTCCAAAGACAAGCTGTGGTTCTGTGATAACAGCAGGCCCAAGAAGATCCTGAGTTGAAGTTATGGATATAAAAATAAAGAAACTGATTCTTAATAACTTGGTATTTTATTTGTAACTTTGGAGGAGTCTAAAACTTTAAATGGAAATTTTTATTCTCTACCACTTGTAACTCATAATCCAAATAATTTCATTTTTAACTGTGTTCTCCATAGTGAGACACGGAGGACAACATCTACATTCTTTTAATTTGGAATTTGAAAGGCCATTTTTATAATGTGTAATAAATACATTAAAACATTGATGAGAGGTTTGCTAATTTGCATATGCCAATCTATGTATTTCTTGTCATATGTTTCTACTATAACTTCATTGAGAACAGCTGATGTTTGAATAACCTTTGAATTTCATAAATTAATTTTTTAAAAGATTTATCTTCTTTTCATGTTTCCAATTTCTTTAAGATTGTTATGTAATTTGTCAGTATTAGCCATTTTTCCATTTCAATAAAATACCTGTGGAGACTGGAGTCTTTCAGTCTTGTAAATTTAGAGCCAGTAATACACACAAAAGCTGTTTTACAGCATCTACAGCACTGTGCTCCTGAAAATTACTGGTTTTAGAAATGGTGTACAGGACTAGGCAATGATTGGTTATTCAAAAGTACACGGAAGGAACGTTAGAAAAAATTAGTTTTAATGTCCCCTGGAGAACTGTCCTAAGCTTAAGTGTTCTCAGTCCTTTTAAAGATTAATCTGGACGAAGAAAGCATAGCTTCAATATCGCTACTTTGTTGATCTGTAGTTTGTAAACAGCATCCACTTTGTTTTGTTTTTACTCCCAATTTTGGTTTCTCAGCTTTACCAACATGTAACCTAAGCCAAAAAATTTTTATGTAGTCCTCATATTACAGATGAGACATCTTTGAACAGGTTGTAAGGGCCTTTTTCCACTCAGAATATTCAGAGACCCTTTTTCTAATTGAATAAAGATCTAGAATTTAAAATACTTTCTTCCTTTATGATATGAATAGCGCTTAACTGATTTTTTCAAAATTTTCTGATTTACTTTGTGCTCTAAAGACGGTTAGAGTGCTTTTAGGGATTTTCTAGATGAAGATACTGTTTTCAATGTTTAAATAGCTGTAAAGAAAGATGATCCTTAGAAGTACTTAGACTTAAAATAATTTGTCTATTAACAGTTAGATTTGAAAATGGAACTTGGGCATTCTTGCAAATTCTGTGTCTAGTCCAGCATCTTCATCATAAAAGCATCTTTTTTCCATGTCAATGTTATGAATATATTTTTAGCCTGTGAGTTGCAACCAGTTATGTGTAAAGTCACGCATCTGTTTTCATGAAGTTGCCTGTGCCTTGTTTTAGTGTTGGAGCATGGGTCTCCTCTCACATTAAAAACACTTTTGGCATGAAGACACTCCTACCATTTGCTTCTGCCATATCAGTAGCACTTGATGTAGAATGTTAAATACTAGTGATATTCTCTATAAAATAAAACATTGTGTGGAGTAAAAGGAAAGGAAAGAGGTTACAGGAAAAAATCACTTAGCATCTGATTGTTTTCCTCTTTTTGTCTTTGATTAACGTGGAGTAATTGCTTACAATTTGTGGTCTTAAAGTTGACAGTCCTATGTAAATTTCAGCTATTAACTTGCATCATGTTCTATCCTTAGGATGACTTTTAATCACTGAATTATGCTGAAATTGAAAGGAACCTCTGGAGGTCATCTGCCCTTGTTGGGCATCTGCCCTTGCACAAACAGGGGCACTTAAAGCCAGTAATGTTCAAAATTAGTATTCTTCAACTCCACTGGTTTTGTGGCCTCCTTGGTTAAGTCTTCTCCCCACTAACTTTCCTATAATACTTGTCTGTCTGAAAATGTTTAACTTTTGAAGTAGTCTGAGTTGCAATAATACTGGTTCCTATAATGTGTGGGGATCACTACCTCTGGCCTTTCTGAACAGAATTAATTTTCTGGTGTCTATTTTTGAAATATTTTCATTTGTAACTGAAGACTATTTTTTATTGTTTTATGTTCTGTTCCCTGTTTGCATGTCATAGTATTGTGAACACGTTCAAAAGCAGAAGTGCTCACTAAAATGCAGATCTTGCAGATGTGTATGAATGTCAAATTTTATGTTATAAAAATTAATCAGGAGGGTTGCTGAAGCATCTTATTGTTGTGTATACTTAAAAGCTATACATGCATCTTATTTGTACGTATACTTAAAACCAAAAGAAAACATTCCATAGCAGGAAAGGAAAAAACTTCTACAGAACTAGGTTTGCATTCCAGGAGATTCTGTCAACTGATTTTCATGGAACAGTTTTCAGAGATGCAGATTTTTTTTTTTGTCTGTAGTATTCAAATAGGGATCTAAGTTAAAGTTCTGAACTCCTTTAGAGATGCATTTAGTCCTTAGGTGACATCTTGTAATTTGCAAGTGGCCAGGTTCTCTGCCCATTCCCCGTGTATCCAGCTTTCTAATAAGTGGAACTTTTGTATGACATAAAGCAGATAGGTCACTCAATTCATGACCGACATGAGTTATGTAAAATCATTCGTGCCTTCCAATGGCACATCTGAAAACCCAATGTATTTACCTTTCTCCATGTCATTTAGAATAAATGTTCTGCACACTCATTATCATGGATTCCATGCCACCCACTGGAAGACCCAAAAATGTTGATTGCACTAACCTGGTCCTGAGCAAGAGAAATCTAAACTGACCCTGGCTCTTTGCTGGGGAGTTGGGATATACTGGAACAAGTGTGTACCTGTGGGTGTATGATTGCTACCTTCCACATTGGTAATGAATCATTAGCTGCTGCTAAGTCGCTTCTTTCTGGACTAAAAAGAAATCTAGAACTCTTAGAAAAATAGAATTGCTGTGTCTGAAAATAAAAGCTCAGGAATACATTTTTCCTAGACTGAAAATTTTCAAACTTATTTAACAAGAAAACAAATTAAATAGCTGAGTAGATCAGCAAGGAATTAGAAAACACTATTTCAAATATCTGCATGGACTTAGAGTGGCTGTGTACCTGTAGGATGACACTGTATAGGTTAGCGGCTTCACTAGCTTTGGGAAAAGGAAGAAGGTGAGGAAACATCTCTATATATTCCAGTTCAGTGACACATTTAAGTATCATGTGTGAAGTAATCAAAGGAACACCTAAGATTTTTTTTCTGTGAGATTTGAGACACAGCTTGTTATGATGCAATGGTATAAACCTTGTTTATGAGTTACAGGCCCAGTCCGTACACCTATTTCAACATGCGTCTAATTTTTAACATGTGGGCAGTTGCCATATGAAGACTCTCAGACATTTTTATATAGAGTGTGAGATATATCCACATTCTTCCTTGGTATTGTTTTTGAAGAGCTGCAGCATTTTAGTCATGTTGAATGTGGAATGAAAAATTTTAAAAGTAAGATCAGAGCTGACAGTGGCAGACTTACAGAGCTATGTGAGTACACTTTTAGGACTAGCACCATAGTATTTAAAACATTTTGGATATTATTTCTGATGAGAAAAATTATGATGTTGTTAATTTGCCACTGCTGTTTTCTACATTTCACAATAAAATATCTTTATTGATTTCAGCTATGTTAACTTTTATTCTGAAAAGCAGTATTGTGTTTGAGAATAAAGAAAGGAAAACAGTAAAAAATCTTTGTGAGTGCCTGTTTGTGGTACTAAGTTTATTTTTGTCTATACCACAGTCTTATATTCCAAAAGTCTATTTCATATTATCTGTAATATGTTCTTACAGTAGAACTCACTACAGGTCATTTCAAAGGGGAAAACTGAGCTTATGAAATGTGATTAACCAGTTGTAAAGAAGACCAATAATCTGAACAGTGTTAGACTATTTAGGGTAGATATAAAGTTACCAGTTGTGTCAAATCATTTGTACTCTCTTGTGCTGCTAACTGTATTATCATTCTGATCAATATTACAGGATTGGGACATTTTTCCACTATATGCATGAAAACAATATATTTTCCCAGCTGTACTGTAATGAGATTATTTACCTTCAGAGGTCTGTAGGTTTACCATGTTTCTTTTGTTTCTGCCAAATTAATTTTCTTAACATGAAGTGGAAGGACTCATTCTGAAAGCATGAAAATTTACCTGAAATTGTGTAGTGATTCTTTGTAAACAAATCGAACACACACTGAGTCTTGTAGTTAAATGAAATGGAAAATAGTATCAACTCTTCAATGCAGGGCTGCATGACTGAAAACAGTTTATCAAAGCACCTTCTAATTGGGATGCACAGTCATTTGCTTTTCCTCAATGCTATTAATATTTCAGATTTTAGAAGGAATACCATGTTAGACCTTTGTTTAATTCCTGAGACTGAAGTTTTGCCTGGCTCAGAACTTTTGTTTCATTTCTCCAATTAAAAAAAATTAGGTCTTCTCTATGAATTTGGATGTATGCTTTTGGCATTTAAGTATAGCTTGCCTGGCACTGATGATTTATTTTACTTTCTAAAGGCCATGATTCAAAGTTTCATGGAACTCTACCAAGTTGCAGTTTCCAGAGTTGAAACATTAGTGAGAGAAACAAAATCTCTGCAGCTTCACATTGCAGCTCTAAAGTCCAGGCTCCAAACAGCATGTCTTCATGAAAGTGACCTTACAAATGGTAAGTCTGCTTTTCAAGAAAATTTTGTCATTTGGATGTGGTTTCTTAGCCAGCATTTCTCTTCATGCTGTATAGTTTCTGTAGGGAAATACAATAGTATTTATCTATAAACATATTAGAACAATAAAATTAGTGTCAACTGAATTTTTTTTCAGAAGAGAAAGGGATGATACTAGTTAACAGAGGGATTAATTTTACTACTGTATCTTCTACAAGGACCTGTTCATTGCTGCTGTTGCTGGAAGAGTATACATTGTGATTTCTTTAGTTTTGGCAGTACAGTAAATAGTTGAACTTTGGGTCTGAAGAATTTCACCATTTAGGGATGTAGCATGTTAAAACAGAATGTTATTAGCTGTTCACATAAACAAAATGTTCATTAGGAGGTTTGGATTTTAATGCTTCTCACAAAAGTTACAAAGGTTAAAATCCGATTTCAGAAATAATTTCTGGTCTAAAAATATTGTTGCCCACAAAGGTACTTGGATTTGTTTAAGGCTAATAAGGTGATTCTTCAGATCTGAGATCTCTTTCTAGGGGAATTATTGAATACAGATTTATTTGTCTTACAGAGGCAGGAGGCCAGACACGTAAACTGTTATAAACATATAGCCAAGTATCTCTAGAATGAGACTGTGTAGGATGTGCAACTGGCATACACTTGATGTATTTGTCCTCCATTTTTTTCTTACTTTTTTACAGAGGACAAAGGAGAAAGCTTTGGAGTTTTTTTGGTTGCTGTTGTTGTCCTTCTCTTCTTTTTTCTTCTTTTAGTCTTGTGTAGCAAAGGACCATAAAGAAAATGAGGATTGTCTTTGTTTTTGAAACAGAAGATCTGTAGGAAGAGAGCTGTCACTAAAGCAAATGTCATAAACACACTGGAAAATGTATATTCAAAGGCTGTGACTGTGGCTTTGGTTGTCTCCTACAGAATTATATTAATTTCTTATCCTGCTTCTAACAGCTGGGAAATTATTGTGAATAGAAACTATATTAATCAGTGCTGAATTTCAGTTTTAACATCTTGAGGTGATAATTATTGAATGAAAACTTGGACTCTGATGTTTTCTATTAGGTTTATATGTGTCCTGCTGAGCTTGTGGCCAGTGTAATTTTGGGCTTCTCCTTTGCCTATTATGATTGTTTTTGTTGTTAAATCAAGATGACCACTTGTGTACTAAGATTGGGAAGTCTGCAGAACTTGCAGCAAGGTTTGCTTTTGTTTGGATTGAGAGAGCTTTTAGCAAAGATGTTGCTAGTCCTGTCTATGAAGGACTATCCAGCTGCTTGTTATGTTACAATGAAAACAAACGCCTTGCCTTCCCTAGCTCTCCAAAGCTTGTGATTCAAGGCAGTGCTTTTTAAGTAATTTGTGTCTGCCTGCAGTGTCCATGTAAAGATGATACTATATGTGTTGAAGGGATATATTGGCCCTCTGGGAGAACAATAGTTCTTCCTTTAGATGCCATTTAATCTGAATGTAAGCATAAGCATTAGTAGGAAGTGTTTTAAAATTTTAATATAAAGGCAAAAAAACCTGAGAATGAGAGTCTCAGGTTGCTATTGTTGCCGTGAAATTTTGATGCTGAAAAAAATCTCTGGAGCAGTTAATTAGGGGTGAGATAAGAAAGGGTTTATTTTGCCAAGGCAAGATGTTACAGGACGTGCGCGCCGGCCGTGCCTGAGATGTTACATTTTATAACACCATCCATCCAATCCCAGATGTGTCCACCCTGTGGCCTTTACTCTGGTCCGCCCTGGGTCCACTCCCTTAAAATGGGTCTGGGGTGTATTTCGGGACCCCTTATTCATCCCATCTTTGTCTTCATCAGAGCACAAAGGGTACATAGTTACCAAATTCTTGACCGTATTCTGTGGTTTAGGCCCTGATATGCTGTTCTGCCAACAATCTAGGCCTTGCCTTGACAAGAGACTAAACATTTCTGCTGTATTCAGGAGTAGGATTGATATAGGGAGCATAGAATGGGGTAAGAGGGTTAAGGAATGTATAAACAAGGGTACTGGAGAAAGGGAAAGGGACAAGGGACAAAGAAGGGAGGGGTTTCTGCTTTTAAAACCTACTTATAAAACTTACAAGTCTTACAAATATTAGAAAAATAAAAAACCATTAGGGGCTTAAGGCATCACTATGTGTCCTAGTTAGGACAACTGAGACCAGTTCATCAGGGTATGGGTGTAACCCAAAACTGTGTATTCTATAGCCTTCCATGCCATTTCCCAGAAACTGTTATCAATGAACCATTTACACCATCTGCCCATAGAGCCTGACTCCTCAGGCTATAAACTAGGTGTTAAGAGGCCTGTGAGATAGGAGGATGCTCCTGTCCTCACACCCTTTGTGGAACTCCCCGCCCTGAGGGAAGTGCTGAGCATTCCTGCCTGAACTGCAGGATATATAATCTTGGAGTCTTGGAACATTTTTAACCACTCTGTGGGATCCAGAGAAGGACTGCGGCTCATCGCTCTCAAACAGACTTGGACCACCACCCTATACTGGACTCCAATCACCACTTTTGACCAGACTGCAACAGCTCTCCCACCAGCAGGTTCTTCCCCTCTCCCTTTACTTTGGACTCAAGCGGGGCCCAAGGAACACCACGTTGTTCATGCCCCAGGGTACTGGGTTATACATTTGGGTTTTGTGGGTTAAGACCAATTGTTTGTTTGTATGATTGTACTTACTGTATTATTTTAGTAAATTGTTATTCTGACTTATAATCTCTCCTTTGAGTTGAGTTCATTTCCCCTGCTGGTTAACTCTTAAACCAGCACACTATGAAAAAGAAAAAAGTGATTATGCTATATTTTGTATATTTGGGGTTTCTGTAAAGCTTTTCCCTAATATTTGTAAAAGTTGTATTAAGCATGACACTTTTAATAACTTCAACTATCACAGCTTTGTGGAGTGACTTACATTTTAATATTTCAGTTGGTACTGTTCTGTTCCGATTTTGGGGAAGAAGTTCTGCGCTAAATTTCTGTATTAAAATAGAACAGATTTTTTTTTCTTACTTTAAATGAAAGGGAGTGATGACTTCTTGAGTATGTGTTTGGTTTCAAAATTAGACAGTCCCCTCCCCTCCCCTCCCTCCCCCCCTCCCCTCCCCTCCGCCCCTCCAGCCCCGCCTCCCCCCTCCCTCCCCTCCCCTCCTCTCCCCTCTCAACCTTTCCTCTCCTCTATTTTCTTTTCTATTGTTCCCTATTCTTGTATCTCTCTTCTGTTGGTTGGGGGGTTTCCTGGTTGCCATTTTTTTTTTAAACTTCTGTTTGTTTTTTTTTCTTTACCAAGTTCTTCTGAAATTTTCCTTACATTTCTAAAATGTCTTTTTTTTTCTGTTATACAACTATTAACATTTTGTAATGGTCTTCCTGCCTACTTCTTGTTCAGCAGCATCCAGTAATATGAACACTATGAATGGACTATGCTTCAAGGTTCCCTGTTAAATGAACACTTGACAGTTCTGAATTCTTACCAGTACTGAATTCTGCTGCTTTTATTCATTTTAATTCTTCTTCAAATACATTAGTTTATTACTATACTTGTACATTCATTCAGAGGTGCAATAATAAGTAGACCTTGAACTGAGAGCTTTTAAGTGCTCTATTGTGCAGTAGTACAGTCATAAGCAATTATTTTGGGGGTGCTGTGGGGCAACATGTGTCATCATATTTAGTCATATGGCAAGCATGTGAATCCATGCTGTCCAAGGCTTTGTTGCTGCAAGCACAGTGTTGCAGGGCATGGATGCAGTGGCATTGTTTTTCCCCCATGCAATTTGTTTCTGTGTCACCAATTCATCTGTATTTTAAGGCTAAGACCTGCATCTAACAGGGATACATTGTCCTAAAGTTAGAATTATGAGGATGGAACTGGAGAGAAAGAAAACATTTGCTTTTCCACTTTCTGCATAGGAGAAAGGCACTCACTCCGTCGGTGTTGTGTTAAATATCAGAGGGTGTCTTTCATGGGCCAGAGCCATATCTCTTATGTAGCTGGAAGAATTCTTCCCAGATGTTGCAAGAAGCAGATAGGTCCTTGATGAAAACTCTCCTTGGCTTTTTCACTACCTCTTGCTAGCCTTACGCACAGTTAAACTTGTTTTGTGAAAGATTTGGAGATGCTTATTCTTAACTTGCCTTGCAAAAAGTCATCGGACTTGTTATTTTTATTGTTACCCTCTTTCTTGATGTGATTTCCTGGAAATAGTCTAGGACAGACTTCAGTAAATATGGACCTCAAATAATAGTAACTTTTGCTCAGTACTGTTAAATGCCAGTGTGTGGTTTAAGTGCTGTGAAACATATGAATGTTCCTAAAGTGATAGTAAGTAAAGAAAATTCTGACAGGTCCACAAGGAAAATTTCTCAATTATTGAGATGGTCACAGACATGAAAGTATGGAGATATCAGATGGGCAAAAATAGAAAACACTATTCATAGGAGTTAATAAGCTTGAAGTCTCTATAAGATTGAATCCACTAAAGAGTAATATCTCCCAGAAATTATGTTTTTACTGAAATATTTGCATTTCTTACCTGATTTTAAGCAGTTGGGCATCACTTGCCAACCTTACTGCATAGCCAAGGAATGCAGATACCCCAACGCAAATGCTTACCTGGTCATGTGATGTTGCTTACACAAGTAATAGTTGTAACCAAAGAGTATAAATCATGTAGTTTAAAATAATAATAATATGAAACTGATATTATAAATCACATTATGTAACTTAAGGCAAGGTGTTCAAAACCAGTTACAGTAATCCAACATCACATTTGCTATTTTGTAAAGAATACTTCCTTCTCTATGCAAAAATTTCTTGATACTCAATATTCTAGGTATGTGAACTTTAAACTTGTCAGACTGTTGTAACATATTTGGAAATTACAGTAATTTGATTGAAATGTTGCCTATAAGGCAAAAGGCTCAGTTAATAGAATCCACATGTAATTAAAGTGCAGAACCAAATGTAATCAGACCTC